TGCCTGATTAATCCCATATCAACAAGACCTGTCCAATTAAGAAAATAATTGGACAGTTACCTATATGGGATTAATGAGAAGCTGTATAATAATAATAATAATAATAATTATTATTATTATTATTATTATTATCATCATTATTACTATTATAATTATTAATATTTAAGTTCGGACATCGTTCCCGTATTTCCGTACGAATGTACAGACTTTTAAAAAAATTATTCACTCGGCTTGTTTAGTTAGCTCTCTAAACACAAGCAAAATATCATTTTTCTAACTTGATCAAAGCTTTTCTTGTTGCTGTTTAGAAAAATAACTAATGAAATCTTTCTGAATTTTCTTCTTAAATTCAGTGGATTTGTATCGGAATCCGAGAACGATGTCCGATTTGGGCTAGCGCTCAAAAGGTGACTTGGAACGATGGATAACAAGGCGGTCTTCTTTGCTGTCATGCGAGTAGAGTTTGAAAGGTGTCTTTGCTCATCAGAGGAATATTGCCCAGGCTCACCGGGTTTCCTCTACTATCTCAAAACAAACAACCGGAATGGACCCTGCTTAAAATTGTAAATAGAAATGCCATAAATTCCACCGAGAAAAAGTGTGCTTTCTTTTGTATTTCCATGTTAGCCTTCAATCCAAGATGTTTTTGGGAAGGGTCCATTCCAATTCACCTTTTTCGCACTAGCCATCACGTGGTTTAATTTGTATTCAATTTTGTTAAGAACACCAAAAAGTTTGGACATTGTTCTCGAATTTCCATACTAATGTACTGGCTTTTGAACAAATTATTTACTTGGTCTGTTTATATGTTACTCTAAATTCTAATCTGAATTCGATCTGTATAACTACGCATATATGTCTTACCTTTTTTTAACTTCACTTGTAAGAAATTGGTTTTCAGCCATAGTTCTTATGCTGACTAGGTCACCACGCACCTTTCTGCACAGAGCTCTTGCCTCGAACCATGAGCGCTGATTGGATAATGACTCATTTGCAAAATGATAGCAAAGCTGGTTCCAGTACACCCAGTCTGGATCACATATACCAGATACTACAACAAATATACAGCATTGATCAAGTCTTGGCTTTTTAATATGCGGTTAGTTTCAGTGGTGTAGGAACGTGAGGTTTATTTGTAATTATTTTTTAATTGTTTATTACTTTGATATGAAAAAGTAATGTAATTTAGGCAAAGTAAAATCGAGGCATGGTTGGTCAGCAGTCTCTCTTGAAATAGCAAGTTGCGGGACGCCACTCAGAGAAGAGCAGTGACTAAACGAATCTATCTGATATTCGTGGAGTTCCAGTAGATTTGATGGGAAATTAACCCCACTTTCCACCCCCTCCCTCCCCCCCTCCCTCTCTCCCTTTTTGAAACTTGAGTTAGGGTTTTGGTAAATTACGTGCCCCCCTTTTTGGGGGACTTGAGTAAGGGCTTTCTAATTTTATACCCTAACAGATCGTGGATCATACTTTCCAGGGCTCAGCTATGTAACAAAACCTTATCTGATAAAGTGTATAAGGAATGTAAAAAAAATTTGCAAACTTGCCTTGTGTTGTTGGTTTTAGAGGTTTGGTTGAAGGTGTGGGAGACGTTGCACGTGCAGCTTTATATGAACAAAGAAAACAACCATTATAAACTGAAAGAACATATTAACCTAAATCCACACATGCAAAGTAGTTTAAAAAAGAATAAATGAATAAAAGACGGCGCGAATAATTACTTAAAATAACCCATGCAGAGTAGTACAAACAAGAATAAATGAACAGCAAAAACGGCGCGAATATTTACCTAAAACAGCCCAAGCAAAGTTATTTAAACCTGAACAAATGAACACCAAAAAATGCGCGGAAAAAATTTGAACCACACTTGAACCAATAGACCTGCTTCGAGTTCCAAATTACCGCTGTGTTCTTTGATTACAGACTCATTTACTCAGGCTTAGCCTCGATTTTGTGTAGAATATTCACGTGTCTCAGTCAAGGTCCGTCGAACTTCAAAGTGATTGTATTTTTGGAGTCGTGCATTCTTACTTTATCGTTGGTATTTGTGAATATTTAGACACTGATGCGAGGCAAAGCCTGAGTAAATGAGTCTGCAATCAAGGAACACAACGGTAATTTGGAACTCGAAAAGGGTCTATTCGCAATCTTTGCAAATGAGCGCAACCAAAAAAGGTGTCTTTGTGTTATGGTTTATTTTATACGCCGAGCATAGGAGAATAAACTCAGACAATAATACACAAAGTCCATCTTTATAGTCGACAGCAATACTGTATAAATCATAAATCCTGTTACAAAAGAGAAAGGTATATCTGCAGTGACTACAAATTCTCCAGTACGAACATTGAGCTTTGTGTCTGCGTAAAACAAAAACCCTTCTATTCAAAACATGGGAATACTTACGTCTCCTCATTTTACACATGTAGGGCCTAGTCGAATAGCATCCTATGTCATTCCAGACACCTGTTGACTTGAGTACTACACAAGGCTGCTGACCAGAATGACTGTCAGGTTGAGCGGGACCCCAGTTAGTGAATCTAACAGCAGTACCATCACTCCACATGTGACCTAAACATAATAAGGAGCAAAAATAAACTATCATAACAATATAGATAAGACTATTGACTAACTCTAACACAAAATACATTCATTTCTTTCGTTGGTTCGTTGGTTCGTTGGTTCGTTCGTTGGTTCGTTCCTTGGTTGGTTCGTTGGTTCGTTAATTGGTTCGTTGGTAAGTTTGCTCGTTGGTTCGTTTATTCGTTCGCTCGTTCGTCCGCTCGTCGGTTGTTAGATTACCAGCGAGAACAGCAGCATTATTGTCTCAGATAAGCAATTTTTCGCTCAATCCAAATCCAAATCGACGATTTTCTTGAATAACCAATAGCTAAAAAATCAATTAACATCGGTACCTGACAGGGTTCCTCGATCATTCAGACCAATCCAAGTATCAAAAGTGTTGTTAGTTAAGGTCTGTACAAAGCTGTTTTCTGCTGCATCGCGAATGCTAACGAGATTAGTATTACTTCCCATTCCAAAACACGAATCACGAGCAGCCGTCCAAGTTTTCCTTAAGTAATATAAAAAAGAAATATATTATGAAATACCGGTTTGTTTGCCTTTTCTTACCATACTTCGTCAAGTATATGTGCGAATAAATAGATGTTTGCAGGAAATTTCTGGCGATTCATTCCCTGGTTCAAAACAAAAACACTAGAGCAGCATGGAACATACTAAACAGTATGAAGAATGAATGCTGTATGAATGTTATTTGTCTAGAATTACACTACAGCTCGTATTACATCAAGCACATAGCTACCTAAGAAAAAAATACTTTGACTTACTGTTGCATGAAGACTTTGTAGCAGCCAAACATGTAGGTACTCCATCCAGATGGGCAGGGACCTGAAGGAACTAAAACCATACAACAGGATATATTAGTAGAGGAAATTACACGCCCTTCTCGTACAATTCGGAATTGATAGGTACGATTTGAAAGTTTTCAAAATTGAACAAACCTTTAGGCGAAGCATCACGAGAATCTATCAATTTGGAATTGTACGAGAAGATCGTGCGAGTTTTGAAGAAATAGAAAACGCGCGTGTGTGCTGTGTGGAGTTATAAAAAAGCACGCGGGGATTGCCAGAACACGAGAGAAGTGTTAGGAGAAGCACGACGCGTAGCGAGTAGTTTCAACTTACTTGTGGTAGGCGCCTTTGTAGGAGGAATAAAATTTCCTGAAAAAAAAAACATTAAAAAAAATTTTAAATAATAAAAAATCCTCATTAAAAAAATTCACATGCACAATAGTTTTGGAGATGTAGAATATAATATCCGCTTCTTACGTCTAAACATTTTGCACACAAAAGCCAGATTGCTGTTACAGTCACCATCCACCCAATACATCCAGTCTCTAGTACCAAACGTCATCGTAGCTCGAACACAGCTGCCTTTAGGATCTCTGTCGTTTGGTTCACTGTTAAACCAATGAGTGAAGTCTACAGTGCTGTTATCTGCCCATCGATAGACCCCACGTTGACTAAAGTCACTCAGCCCAATCCATATATCACCGGCGTCCCACGATGTCACCAACAGACTTGTCACTATTGAACTTTCCCATCTGATTATTTAAGAGGAGGTAATGCAATGAGTATGAGTATTGGAAGTATATTTGGAAGTCGTGTTAGTGCATGTGAGTGGACTCGGAGGTATTAGCAATCTCTGCTACTCTCAAATTGAAGCATAAATAAAAAGATCATCATCATCATCATCATTCTTATTATTATTCTTGCAGTATATACCTATTTTTAAAAAAGGTCAGTTGCGGGAGCCAACTAAGATAAGCGATAGGCGATTTCGAGAGCAAGGATAGCCTGTAATGACTAGTGTTTCTTCTCATTATTCTAGTCAAGAACACAGAGCTTAGTGTTGAGATTCATTCTAAACTCCTCGATTATTCGTGTTTAGAGGTATTCTCGAATTCATTTCTGTCTTGAATACTATTGCCTATCTCTTTTGGCTCCGACAACCTTTTTTTTAAATAAGTGTATATGTAAAGACTAGCTGAGCTGGATCGTCATTTAAAAATATATTGCCTAAACTTGAACAGTTCCAGTGTAATAGAGCTGTTAAGTGTGACGTAATTCAAACGAAAAATGACTCCGGGTCCAATTTTTACGGAAAAATTACGGACATTTTTCAGTGTTTGTGGCTTTTTTTTCTTTGCAGCAGGATTTTCTGTTTATATAGAGAAAAACTCCTGGGAATAAGTTGTGGCAAGATTTTAGCGATCTTTTGTTTGTTTGGACCCGAATATACGACCACTCGACCCAGTCTTTAACTCTACCACGGAATGGCTAATAGAAGGTCGATTGAATTAGAGTTTCTTTTTATAGGTAGTTTACGAGCATTCCCATCAAAAGGCACGGCGGCCGTGATGTAGGTTGATAAAATCTTTTGTTTAACATAATGATTAGGATTCTTGCAGCCGTATTAAAATGAGCAGATGACTGGGGTATAGCATATCCCATTTTCCATGAGTCTTCCCGCGGTTCTGGAAAAGTGTCTTTTGAAAATCCAGTATTTTATAGACCTTTTGAGTAGGGGTGGACTTGTTTAATTTCAGCTCATACTTAACTTACCCACTATGAACGCTAACTAACTCGGCACCATGACTTCTGCACGTGTCCCGAGCATCGAACCAACTTTTCTTTTCCAAGATGAGACCATAGCAAACATTACCATCTGGGGATCTTTCCCACCCTGCCGGACAGCCAGGGGTAGCTAATGGACCTGTAAAAACAGTTGAGATGGTATGCTTAACAAATGGAAGTCAGTTTTCTATGGGTCTGTACTGTAATCGAACATGAAATGATGTCAAAAATGATCCAAACTCAAGTGGAACCACGAACGCAGCGAAGTTTGGATCATTTTTGACGTCATTTCATGTTCGATTACAGTACAGACCCATAGAAAACTGACTTTGATTGGTTTTTTCACCATAACAAAGTCGAAAAAATTGAACAAAAAGACAAGTAAGTAGTTCGAAAAAGCCGTTTCATCCGCTCGCTCAGTACGCGCGTGACGGATGTCGTAAGCACAAGCAGGTCTAGCCTCTAATCGACAATGGTTCTAAGCCAATCAGCGCGCGAGAAATTTCCAAGTTATGGTAAAAATATGCTTTTCCTTCAAAGTTTACGATTGACAAAGATAGACCTGCGGCTATCAACAGTCTGTATTTTCATCCTTTTTAAAAATTATATAATCAATTATGAAATAATTGATACAATGCTTACTGATTGACCGCCCACGTTGTTGATATCAGAGGACAGAGACACTCAAGGAATAATCGTCAAAACATCACTTCATCAAGTAAATAAACGTTGCGTCTTTGTAGTGTAAAATATTGAAATATTCTGTTGTAGAGCACTCGAGTAACAAGACTAAAAACACCCGGTTAGGCCTCCCGTATTTCCACAGGGGCGCGATTTGGGGTAGAATCCTCTTGTTCTCTACAGCTCAAAGCGTGTTCATATCACAGTACTAAACACCTAATCTACCTATCTAAAATATCCGAGAATATAGCGAAATACCTTTTTTACAAGTGTAGGTGACCTCTAAATACTTTGGAATAGTTGGACAAGGATCACTGCCAGCCATGTTAACATCAGCTCTTATTGTGCAGTAGGTTTTACCGTCACACATGCTTTGTATCTTGGTTAGTACATCAAGGCGACAATTTATGAGACTAATTTGGCCACACTGGTTAGCAGATGTTCGTCCAAAGTTGGCTGACTTGACGGATATGACAGTCTGCGAAGGACAGCTGATAAAGCTCGAAGTCTGTTCGCAGATGATTTTGGATGTCGGTGCTGCATAAAACAATAAAATTACATACATGACTGCTGCATTATTTTATTTCTTCTCCTTTTGGAAACATCATTAAGTAATTTTATAAGTCTGATCAGTCCAAGTTCTTTCCTATTTCTTAGACGATCCAATAGAATCACCTTCAATCTAATTTATTTATTTGCAATCTTTTGACAGGCGGTCCAATTAAGCGACTGGTTAAAACGGAGGCCTATTGAAGAGATAGAAAACGCGCGCGCGTGCTGTGTGCAGTTATAATGCACGCGGGGATTAGCAGAGCACAAGAGACGTGTTAGGAGAAGCACGGCGCGTAGCGGTTCTGTCAATCCCCAAGGGCTTTATAACTCCACACAGCACAGCAAGTTTTTTATTTCTTTGATAAAATACAAATTACGATAACCGTTATTTTGGATAAGAATGATGCCACTGAAAGTGCGCGCGCGTGCTGTGTGCTCTCATAAAGCACGCGCTCCCAACCAATCAGAAAGCGAGATTTATAATGGTTAATTTATAAAAATATTCAAATCTTGATATGTAATATTTTAACAGAAAAAAACCTACGTACCCGATGTTGGGGTGACACCTCCAGTGGGTATGTAAGCTGCAAAAAATATGAACGACAAACCAAATTACACCATTTCATTATATTAAGCAACACAGAAAACCCTATATAGAAAGAAGGATGATGTTACACGGTGGAGCGAATATACGAAGCTTATCTTTGAGTGGTGAAAAACGAGTGAAAGATTTTTCATCGCGAGAAGATAGACTTCATATCTTCAAGCCGACGTGTAATTTTCTTTTTCGGCAAGGCACGCATTCAGCACTGAGCTTTTCAAGGTCATACTTAAACTGCTCAAGTCTCAGTGGTAGTGAACATATTTTTATTTTGCTTTTTCCTGTGAGGGTAGAGATAGCACAAAGCTTTCGCTTATTGTGGGCCCTGTAGTTTAACCACGTGTAATGAGGATGGTCGTCACCAGCGCCTTCAGCTGGTTCTTTGAAGGTCTAAACATGTATAAATGTAGTTACAATGGCAGCACCCTCTCCTTAATTATCTTATTACCCTGATTGTTTATACCTCCTATGGTACTCGTATCTACGTGCGACAAACTAACGAGTATACCTTTTTTGCTTTTGCAAATGTAGGCAAAAGAGGAGTAACAACCAATATCATTCCATCTTCCGGCAGCCCACCACTGACCATAGGTATGGCCACAATGTTCAATATTTCTCCAGTTGTCTGGTTGAAGATTGTACCAGTTTGTGAAGCGAGGAGTTGTACCATCAGACCATTCCCAAGCGCTTTCTGTATTTTCATCGTGGAATCCTGGGCAACAAAATGTAATAGATTAATAGACAAATAATATCTAATAATAATATATGTGGCACATATGCAGTGCAGTATAGCAAGCACGACCAAAAATATGATTAAGCAACATACCCATCAAGTATTAAATGTATGTGACTTAYCAAAAGGATACCTCCCGAACGAATAGTCATCACACTGTACAAAAGTATGGACTCTGTATGTCAATTTCCTATGTGTACACCTATTTCARAAAAACTCTGTCTTAGATCTGAAACCTAAAATCTTAGGCATGAATTGTGAGCAGTGAATTTAGTATGAAGGAAAGTGATAACTGTTTTGCTTTTTTAACTAGTGATTCGCAAAGAATTTTTGTTTTCTGAATTCCTTTTCAATTTCAGTAGTGATTCAACACACTGATTATATTTAGTTCGCAACAAGTTTACTATTACCTTTGAGCGATCTCATGCCCTGGCGAATTGTACTCGCATTTCAGATTTCCGATCAACGTTATTTGAAATAGGTGCATACTAAACATTTGAAAAACGGCTTTCGTATGAGTGAGAAGTTCATTGGACATGGAAGGAATAACCATTAGTCATCACACTACAGCTGACACTAGCCTCAGCTTCAATGGTCGCGCAATATATATTTCCACTAGCTACAAGTATAACAACGGTCATCGCAGGAGTGGGAAACTCATGAGCGTAGCTCATATCGTATCCGGTACAAGTCGCTGGAACGCTGAGATTCGTTTCCGTCAGTTGTACTTTGTGTACAGCGTGTTGTACAACGTATACAAACTGGACGTTTTAACCACCACTCAACATGTAGTGCGTTTGCTGCATGTTCAGCCGAAAGCAATGCTAAAGAGGGCGACAACAAGCACTGTCCAGCATCTCTTATGTTATAACAGAACGAGCTTACCTATCCAGGCGTATTTTCCAAGACCGAATTTTCCAACTTCAAGAGATATGTGCGCTTGTTCAACAGGTGAATTGATGCTGGTCAGTTCTCCACCTCGTTTCTGACATTCCAAGCGAGCCGCCGCCCAATTTTTTTCGTCAAAATTAAATTGATAGCAGAATTGACCAAATTCTTTCCATCCAAATTTGCAGCTGCCGAATTCTATAAAAACAAGGCAACACTTTAAAATCACTATAGATTGAGATATACTTAAGAACAGTACTTTGACTCTTGAGTAACTTCCAAGCTAAGCCACTCAAAAGGCAAGAAAATTAAGAATTAAAAGATAATTCGATCGCTCAGTCTTCCAAGGCAGAGAATCATGACTAAAGCACTTGAGGTCAGATTGAATTGGAATTTGAAAGTTTTTTTATTGGTAGGGATGACCCGTCTTTGTTTTCACGAGGGTAGCACTTAATAGCCAGTGGCTAACAAAACTGTGGCTCTCGTTTCATGATCGAATTGGACATTAGGAGTGCAATTTTGCGGAGGGAGGAAACTGGAAAACGTGGAGAAAATCTTCGAAACATAGGTTGTTGATCGAACCAGGTGATCTGACGGAAATCGATTAGCCAATCAGATTGCGAATCGCGTTTGCTGAAAAAGAATCAATCCCAATAGGCCTTTGCGCGTCTCGAGAAGCAGAACAAAAAATATGTGTGGATCGGTAATAATCAAGAACATAACACATATAAGAATGGCACGTAAATACACGTTACTACTAAATAGCATATTATTTGAGCTCGTTATCAAGTTTTCAATCATTTTCGAAACAAAAAACTTTGTGAGGTTAACTGTGTTGGCTATACGAATTATAAAATCGGATAAACACTTACTTAAAATAAGCTTTTCTTGTAAAATTTTACTTGTACATAACTTGAAACATTACTAAAAACTTCAAATGTGCAGCTATGACTTCTTTTCACCAATATTTCGCACTAAATTTCAAGACAATACATATTCAAATCCAACTCAAAACAAAATGGCGTCCTTCACGGCAATGTTTCGTGCAGGACTCTAGGCGCGCGGTCATGTTAGGGATTGATTATTTTTCAAGTCAGGAAATCATGCATTGCGCGCTATTCGAGATCACCTGAACCCAAAACAAGTTCAAAATGCGGTATATTAGGAGCGCACAAAAGCCGAGCCCAGTATTTAGGCTGACAGCTATTCCGTGTATACTGCTGGGAGGATGAATTAAAGGTAGTTTATATATATACCTGCATTGTAAATGTCCTTGATTTCTGCTGCACTCAATTCTCTATTCCACACGGCTAATGCTCGCATATAGTAAATGCCTTGGACTTGCTGGGTAGACTTACTGCCGATTGTTACACCGACATTGTTGTTCGTGTGATCATGAGACTGGGGGGCTCCATAAGGAGCTGAAGATCTAGGATAATAGTGACAAATGAGAGTGATAAATAAGATATTATTGAAAGCCCTTTTGATACTAGCAATAATACATATAAAGCTGTGAATAATGATTCCATGATATATGATTTCTTTAGCGCCTTCTCTGTATAAATTTAATCCAAATGGCTCTTACAATCATGAGAGATGGTTAGTATAAGTTATAGGCACCGAGGGTGGTCACTGTCAGGTTTTCTTTACGACCTCAGTGGTTCATTTACGTCCCTCTGATATTTTTTAGTTCAGTAAAATGTAGAGAGACGGAACCGTCATTTCAAGTGGTCATCCAAGCAATTTTGAAAGTCTAACCATTTGTAAATATTTCTACAAAGACAGCACTTTCTCCTCAGTTATTTTAAGACCCTGAGTGTTGGTCCGTCCGGGATTCGAATCAAGACCTCCCGCACTGAAGTCCGATGCACAACCAACTGAGCTAGCCGGGCGACGAACGTTTTCTTAAGATCGAATGTAGGATCGTACAATTAGGATATCAGGATGCTTACCGTTGCAACCCGTTGATAAACAGCCTTAAACCTGCACCAGTACTCCACGTAAAAGTGACGTGTTGCCAGATATTAGCTCTCAGTGTCTGTTTATTTGTCCAAGACTTCTTAGTGGTCAACACCCTGACTTTGAGTTTGCTACTTTGCATAAAAATAGCAAAGCCTCTAGACGTGGAAAATGCCTCGTCACCAATAGAATCGAAAAGGAATATCTTTCCGCTCCAGCCAGCAGCATTGGTATCCAATTTGATGATCAAAGACACGGTTACACCTTTAGTGCAAGCTTCTGCATCGCTGATGCACTGATTAGGGAAGTCTCCTGCATCTATGTAAGAGTTATAACCGGCAAATTGCAAGACATCTTTGCTGTTTTGCAGTATGTCTGGTTGCGTGATACTTCCCTTTACAGTCCCCGTGGACGTTCCAAGTATTTTGCCCTTGACTATTTGGTTCAAAGGCCAGTAGGCACTAGTTGCGCTAATCCAATCTGCAACAAAAATATTGTAAAATGTCAATCTACTAGCACGCACCAAATAAAGAACCGTTTCTGTATTCAGCTGAATCAAATAAATGATTGTTCTAACRTCACAAAAATCACATACGTTGCTTGGCAGTGTGCGGTCGTTGCGAGGGAGAAGAGGTAAAGAGGGAGTGGTCTTTGGCCGTTTCACTTAGCAATAACCGCAGACCGCCATGATTTAATAACTTTACCATCCTATCGATGGCCAAGAGGCCACGTTCGAAATATCAAATATTCTAGCACAATACTGAGGCTCAAAATTGCATAAAAACAGTGCTGTAGATTGGATTATAACGTTGTTGAGTAGTGAACTGACTAGCATTTCCACCAAAATGCTCTCATTATTGCCGAAAGGTCATATATGATACATTGATTTATTCCTACCAATAAAAGTGTATTCGGAGATCCAAATGTTTATACCATACTTGAAGTACCATACTACTAAAGCCTCGTAATCCAGTCTGAATTTTAAGATACCGATCATGGCATGTAAGGGGATTTTTTGCTACTCTACGTCTGATACATGCAGTAATAGTTTTTTTTAATTTTTCAAAAAAAGTACAATTTTAGCCTTCTTACCTGCAGTACTGGAATACATCGGTTGGTTTTGTGTTGCTGTAAATAAAGTAGAGAATAACTGAACGTTTATTGCTGCTCAGAGTTTCATTAAAAATGTCTACTAAAACCGTTATATAGCATCTAAGTTTATCCTAGTTCAAAACCATTACATTTAATCAGGAAAACTTTTCTCTAACTTCTTTGATAATTAGTTACCTTTCAGTTTGCGTTTGCAAGCAAATGGCTTGTATTGTCCACAGTCCACATCTCTCCACGCAGCGCGACTTGGTACAAGCTCAACGCATGACTTAGAATCTGTTGGTAAGAAAAAGTAACTTTCAGTTAATAATATTTCCTTGCCATTCTAGTTGTTATTGTTGTTTGTGAAGCTGCTGTTGCCATTGTTGCTGTTCCGCTGTTGCTACAGCCGTTTCTTGGCGAAAACGGGGATGGAGCATTTACCCCAATAGTGGTGAGGGATGGGAAGTGGCTGTAAAAAGGCTATTGCTACTGGGTTTTTTTATTGGTTTAAACAGGAAAGACTGCATAACACTATTCCTTTTTATTTTATTCATAAAAGAGCGATGCATTTCCCCCTGACTTTTATCAGCCCAGAAATTGTTTCAGGGCTTCATATCGATAAAATTTGAAGGATTATTTTTATTTATTAAACATTATATTTACGGTAAGAACTTTATTTCATTACTCATTACCCTAAAGCTGGGGCCTATATTACGACAACTATACAGCGCTTATCAATCATACGCGCGAAATCGTACAGTAGGTTGCTGTCGCGACGAAGTAGGTTTTAGTGGACTTCAATCAAGGCGTTAACATGACATTCCATAGGTACGTGCTCCTGAGAACTTTGTATTATCCCCAATGTCATAGAAACACTTTGATTGACGTCCACCAAAACCTTATTTTGTCGGGACAGAAAATTGTACGATTTGGCGCGTGTGATTGTGAAGCACTGTAAAAAAGTAATGGTGGAGGGGGGGAGAGAATTTTTAATTCTTACTGTTATTATCCTTCGGATAGCCAGCATCCCATCTGGTGACAAGGTATGGACTTTGATCACTCCAGTAAAACAGCTTGCTTGATTCTCTGTCATTCAAACCTATCCACATTGAATTTACAGAGCTGGCTAATGGTTTTATTCTATTGTCGATGAAGATTCTCTCCTTGTTTGACACGATACTCAACAGATCACCATTTTGACTCCGGCATGTAGCACGTGCATCTGAAAAAAAGATGAAAAAATAATTCAATACAGGACAAATTTCTCCCCTAARGAGGTCTTCCGTAAGGTTCGCTACACAAGCTCTTCTTCCGGCCGAACGCGTTTGCTCGTATAATCTAAGATCTAGTCATAAGTTTGTTCGCCATAAGTGGCACACTAAAAGGTGCCAGGCAAGTTTTATTAACGCGCTTTTTCTTTTTTTTTTTTTTTTTTTTTTTTTTTTTTTTTTTTTTTTTTTTTTTCTTTAGTGTCTTAGCTTAATTTACAAATTTTTAGGGGCTATATGTATTTTTTTCTTCTTATATTATATTTTATTGTAATGCTATAGTGTAATTCAGTCGAAAGGCTGTATATTCTATTTGTAATAAACTATCTATCTAACTATCCATCTATCTATCTACACACACTACCACTACATTTACTTTTTACAACACACAACACTTAACACACATGCTGATTTTTACGGAGCTCGAGGAAGAAAAAACGGAGATCCTATCGTAGAAGGTTAAGAAAGGAGCAAAACTATCGTCGCAACTAAGAGAACAATACACCAAACAAATCCAACTGACATAAGCGATTAAGTCGAGAATCGAGCCCGCGACCCCAGGGATGAACCTACATAGTGGTGAGGGTCCGTGCCCAAACCCAAATCCAAAAAATTCAAATTGAGTTATCATGAATATTTAGAAATAAATGAATATAAGTATACTAACCTGCCCACATCTTCAGGATGTTTGTATTGAACTGGTAACAAGTGTTGTCTGGTCCTTCCTCCCACCCACTATCACACTTGTTTGAAGATGCTAGAAATATGCAAAACGAAGTTTTGAAATAGAATTAACATAAGAATAGAAAAAATAAAGAAAAGAAAAGAAAAGTAACGAAACGAAACGTAACGAAACGAAACGTAACGAAACGAAACGAAACGTAACGAAACGTAACGAAACGAAACGAAAAGAAGAGAAGAGAAGAGAAGAGAAGAGAAGAGAAGAGAAGAGAAGAGAAGAATGATTGAACACTTGATGTGTAGTTCCTAACTGATAAAATACTGACAGAGAATGCTTGATGTTTGATTCTTTGACATCACATTACCTTGACCTTCACATCCATAGATTTCTACCCTCAAACAAATATTGTTGTTCCAGGTCTGTGGGTAGATCCTGATAAATCTACCGCTTATTTGCTCATTGAGCATAATGTCTGCTATGGTATCAGCATTAACATTTCCTTTGAGTTCCTGTGTGAAGAGATTTCTATGAGTAAAGTATTCATCACAGGGGTGGTGGAAGCTAAAAATCTTGGGGGGGGGGGGGGGCACTGAAATATCATATTTAACACTATGTGATAATGACCGCTGTTTTGTTTGATTGCAGACGCATGCCCTGTAAAACTATGACTGAGAACCAAAATTTTGATGGGGGCATCCCCCCCTGTATTAAGAGCACATTTTGATTGGGAAACGTCCCAATAGACCGTTTTGGCTAACGCATTGATTTACCCAATTCAAATCTACTGGGAATACTTTTGTCCTTTCTAATAGTACATATCATATCTATATCAGTGCTTCACTCGAATTTTGAATGGTTAACCAATCAAAAACTGAACCCCTTTAACAACAATGCTCTACGTACTTTGAAATTCTGTTTTGGAGTTTGGCCATAGGTAATAAATGTGAGTCCATCATTTCCATATGTGATGTAAAACGATTTCACAAAGTCAGTAGACTTTGGCCGGCCTTGAAGAGCTAGATGAGCAATACGTCTGTTGAGACCCAGGTCTATCTGCAAGTATTCACCCTGAARTAGCCAAAATAGACAATATCAATCATTTATTAGTATTAGTATCATTAGTATATAGAGAAGCTAGGCCATTGAAAATGGGGCAAGGCTGGCATAGTAGTAGGACAGGAGTGTCACACCTCTTGGATTTGATACCTTGACTCAGAAGTGAGTATAAATTGTTGGGTATTTTTCCTAGATTTGAGGATCTTTCTCCAGTTTCTCTAATTTTTTATTCCTTAGCAAAACCCAACATGTAATTCTATCTGCGGGTTCACCACACCCTGATTTAGATCATGCTGAAGGTCGTCTCATGGTATATCAAAAAATCTAAAGTTGAATCAAGTTTAAAAGATTGTGAGAGATAATGCATGGCTGAGCTTCAAAACATTTAGTCTATAGAATCAGAGAACAAAATTATCTTATCTATATCCCACTTATGCAAATTTGATATATTTCAATTTTTTTCCTCTTGACAGCATGCAAAGAAGAAAAGATTCCCAAACCTTCTGGTTGTTAGCAGYACACCAAGATCCTGTTAAACTGCCAGAGGGCTGAAGCATAAGTCTTGCTTGACTGGGCAATGAGTTGCTATCTCTACTGCTTGATGCACTGATCTGAGAGTCTCCTATTAAGTAGTTTGCGAGGCCAAATGGTGCATTGCATTTCATGGAAACTGTAATTGATTAAAAACGTATAGAAAATAGAAAATAGGATTTAACTATCAATTAACACTAACCAGCATTGACAGTTTCATTTCCATCCCAACTTTCCTCTCTCTTCAATTATGCAATATTTAGCAGGGGGAGCTATCGATTATAAAGGGGGGAGGGGATATAGGGGGAGGTGTACCATTTCCCTATCAAATCCACAGCCACAGCAATCCCGCATGAATTAATTAAATTTTGATGTCTAAAGCAAATTTTAGGGGGGGAGGGGGGGCACATGCCCCCCTCTCACTGTGCCAGTAATGAGGTCCTACTTACCCCTTGGCATTTTACAGACATAAGGGTTTCTATTGGTACAGTAGGTGGTTCCCCATGTTCCATTCTGTGAATCGACTATAAGCTGTGAGCAATCTCTGGTAATTCCACTCCAACCAGTACCAGGCTCATTTCTTCCCCAGTTCTTGTAATCATAAGCAGACCTATCACTCCATACAAATGATCCTTCTTTGACAACATCATTCAATCCTATCCACACATTCTTAGATTTTAAGTCATTAAGCTGGTTGGTCAGGAATAACTGTTCACCAGATGTGTGGATACTGACAAGATCTGATCCCTGGATTACTCGGCAGGCATTAACAGCTTGCTGCCAATTTAATGACTGCCCTGGGTGGGTGTTCAACTGGTAGCAGGAGTTATCATAAGGCACCCAGTTAATGGGACACAAGTTTTGGCCTAAAATGTTGTAAAAAAATAGTTTTAGTGTTTTTGAAACTGAGACAAAAACATATAATGTAAAATTGATAAAACACAAGATTAGAAAGTTAAGGACTAGCTAGGCAGGGGCAGCAGCAGAGCACTTTTTAAAGTAGGGGGGCAGGCTAAGGAGCACATTGAGGGGGTACTAATCTCTTCATAACCAAACTCAAACTAGGACAAAATAAGATTAAGATGTCATTTTTGTAAAAAAATGTTAGAAGGTTAGGGGGTAAGGGGGGTGGGGAATTGGGGGTAGGGAGCTAAAGCCCCCACAGCCCACAGGTTCTGCCAGTCCTGTTAAAGACTACAACATATCTATTTTTCTATGGTATTTGTTACTGTACATGTACATATCATTCTTTTCTTACCATTTGGCTTCTCACAGATGTATCCTTTTGTAAAGTCACAATAGTCATCATTCCAGTATCCAGCTAAAATACCATTGTATATTGCAATGCAGTCTTCATTACCAGCATGGTCATTAGGTTCTCCAGAGTACCAATTTGTGTAGTTCTTGACAGTCAGATCTCCCTCCCATATGTAAATGCCTTCAACAGCACGATCATTTAGACCAATCCACATACTCTGTAAAACAAAATAAACTAATTAGATTGGCTACACAGGCTTGAAATATTGCAACTCACTACAGCTATATAAATGATGGCTAAAAGACAGCTGCTCAAAGCATGGCTAGACATGATGTCCACATAGACTTACATCTGATATTAAAAAATYATCAATATGGTAATGTTATAGTATGACGCAAGCTCAAACGTTTGACCACCAATATTCACGTACATACTTTTGAATTGGCCTTCATCCAATCAGCAATGCAGGATTTGCTTTATCTTAATGCTAAAAGAGGATCTTGCCGGAGAAACRAAAGTATGCAAACACAATCATTATCTGTGGTCAGTTTTGATTGAGCTTTGAGCTGTAAGCCAACTATGACATGAAATGATGATAATGATTCTTGCCTGTGATATTGTTTTCATGGTGTATGTAATATAGTGCTGCTCATCAGAATCATCAATCTTCACCAGATAACCACCTGACTGATGACAATCAGTTCTTGCATCTACCCATTTACGTCTAACCAGGTTAAATTTATAACATGAGGTTCCATAATGTTTCCAGCCCGCATCACAAAACAGTGGAGCTATATAAGAAAAAGATATGTAAATGAAATGAGTAAAACAATAGATTGTCGAAACCTCTTTTCTGCCAAGTCATAGTGTACTGCGCATGACATTGTCCTATTATGTAGTATGCATGCGTAAGATCAGGCATAGAGAATAAAGTGTCCATTGAAGTGGAATTGAAATTTCTAACTCATTTTGGGAACTGCAGAACTGAAGTTTGATGTGAGAGACTTAACAGTACCCATTCTGACTGGTGTGAAGGGATTGTTAAGGTTCTGACACATGGTGCAACATTGCATGCAACATTGCATGCAGCAGGAATGTTGCAGCATGTCTATCCCAAACTTGTTGCATGCAGCGTTGCATGCAACAAATCTGAAGTTGAATCGAGCTCTACTCTTGCAACATTGCACGCAACAAATTTCATCATGTGAACATGGCTGCAAAATTACCTGCAACATCTTGAAATTTCAAGGCAATCAGCTTGCACCAAATTGATAACTGCTGACCAAATATCTTAACATAGCAGGTTGACACAAGTGATGTTGCATGATTTTGTTGCAATGTGTGTCACCCCAATTCAAATTTGTTGCTTGCAATGTTGCATGCAATGTTGCATGCAATGTTGCATGCAATGTTGCATGCAATGTTGCACTGTGTGTTAGCACCTTTATGGCATAAGTGCATTTTCCTCTGTGTGATTTATACTGATACATTATAAAAATAAAACTTCTATATTCTTATGTCATCAAAGCAAAATTTCCCCCTTTAAATGCTTACTTAGTGTCGTTGGTGGCTGTAATGTGGGCTGCGTTGGAATAGGCACACCTTTAAACAAAAAATATATAGTCAACTTGTAAATTATTGTGCATCATTCACAATATATTTTGCTACACAAACATCCTTCCAGTTTTAAGCCCCCCCCCCCCCCCCCCCCC